GATTTTGAGTTTTTCTGGCAGATGGAAGCTAAGGATAATTTGATATTCATCATCATTTGGTTGGAAGAATTTCCTCAGTATAAAAAATCTTTTTTTTTTTTCTTAACAGGAGAAAACTATGTAGGTGGCTAAAAAATAAAAATGTATAATTAATTCATTTACACATATTCTTTCCAAGAAACTAATGATCAATGGGCATCATATTTGAAATGGTTGCAGGGCATTAGATTCCACAACTTGCAGCATTGTTGCTGAGCATAATCACCCAGAATCCAAAGCCCAAGGTCGGGTACTTGGACCCATCCTTTGTCTAGGCATGTGGAAATTATGATATTTTTTATGATTGGTTTAATTTGTTCAATCTAAATAATTATGCAATTTCAATTATTATATTCTTCTTGATTTTTAAATATAGATGTCCTAAATAAAGGATGTAATGCACTTATTTAGTTAGATTATATAGATTGTTTATTGTTAATTTTGCTGCCATTACATTCTTAAGGTTGGTTATTTATTAATTTTGCCATTTGATGTGCTTAATTTAAGGTCTATTATGAACAATGATATGTCTCTAGAAAAACTATTATGATTAGGAGAGTTGCTTTTTGTTTTTTTGCCCTTTCCCTTCTCAAGGATGGACCATAGTTTTAATAGCGAGGTTGGTACTTTTTCTAAAAAATTAAACTTATGGGTTGTTGTTAACTTAAGGGTTTACTCAAATTTGAATTTGAGTTTGAATCAATATTAGAGCATTTTTAGTCTTTATTCTTTTTTATACTCAAATTTAAATTTGAGTAAAAATGGTCTAAAATGCTTCTCCAATACTAGATTCATATATATACCAAATGAAAGAAAACCCTTTTTTAAACCCCAATTAAGAGAGACTCAAATTTTTAATGGTGAAATTTTATCATCTTTTAAAAATTTAATGGTCATATTTTACCCTCTTTAAAATTTGAGTTTATCCTCATTTAAATTTAGGTTTTTCTTTTTTTAAATTTGAGTTTCTCCATTAGAGAGGTGTATACTAAATCAAGCTTTTTACCATTTTTTTACTCAAATTTGAATAAGAGTTTGAGTTTCAATTAGAAATGGTCTTAGAAATACCCTTAGCACCACAGACTTTTTCCCCCATTGCTTGAGGAATTTTAAAGGAAAAATTAATAATAATTATTACTTTTCCTCGTAAACATCCATTGAGTCCTATATTTTTTGTTTTATATCAATGAAATCATAATCTTAATGTTTTATGTTAATGAAGTCCTAAATTCCATAAACATTATAGTTTGTTTTAATTATATCCTTCTACTGACTTATAAGGTATTGAAGATATAATAACATTAGTCATCTTCTATTCATAAATTCCCCCAATTACTTGGGTTTTAAATTATGTATTGCCTACTTGATAATTTTATGAAAAATTTAATTACTAATAATTTTTAGAATTGTCATTAAGAGATGCAACAAAATGTTTTGAATCTTATGTATTTTCAATGAACAAAAATTTCAAGACAAAAACTCTAGTGCTTTGGTGATTTTAGAATTGCAATTGAAGTGAATATTAATACCTAAATAAAAATTGAGCATCCATAATATCTGCGATTGTAGCTTCAATAAAAACTCGACAATTATTTATATACAAAAAATAAATTAACTCATATAAAAATGGATGACAACTAATTCATTTTTAAAATATTTATTATATATATATAATTGAGTTAAATAACAGTTAATGCACAACAAGAAGAATAAAAGATTTTTGTTAACTAAAGGTTAATGACAAAATTAAAATATAATGGAATTAAGACTTAATTGAAATAATATAGGAAAAAATTTAGCTACACCTATTCTAGTTTATCATATCTTTAAGGACACATTCTCTATTATCAAAAAATCACTAACACCCTTTCTAATTTATATTTAAACATCATTGACGCTCCCTACCATTAAACCACAATTTATAATAAAAATAAATTATCTAAAATACTAAAATTACCTTTATATAAACTTGAAATAATATTTTTACATAAAATTTGATTAAAATTTGAGTTGATTAAAATTTATTTTTCTACGTATTAAAATTCGAGTTGATTAAAATTCTTTTTTCTAAATATTAAAATTTGAGTCGATTAAAATTCGATTTGAACTAATTAAATTTTATTTTTTTTACTTATTAATCTTCGAGCCTATTAAAAATTATTTTTTTTTGCGTATTAAAATTTGAGTCAATTTGAATTCTCCTTGATCTGTTAGCTTCGATTAAAATTCGTTTCGAGTCGATTAAAAATTATATTTTTTTTATTTATTAAAATTCGATTCAAATTAATTAAAATTAACTTTTTACGTACTAAAATTTGAGTCAATTAAAATTTATATTTTTTTATGTATCAAAATTCGGATCGATTAAAATTTAATACGACTTAATTAAATTTGATTTGTGTCCCTAATAAAATTTTAATCGGCTCAAACTTTAATACGTAAAAAAATATAATTTTTAATTGACTCAAATATTAATACATAAAGAATAAAATTTAATTAACTCAAATTGAATTTTAATTGACCCAAATTTTAATACGTAAAAAAATTTAGAAAAAAGGGGATCCCATTGAATATATATGCCTATTTAAAAAGGTGTGGATGAAATGTTTTCTATCATATATCATTAGTAATTTAGTTAAATTGTATTCTAATTAACACATTTAATCTGACATAAGGTATCAGTGATAATTGATGGACCAGACCCAATGACTTAACTCATGTTGAAAGTTCAGTTTAAATTAGGAGTCCAACTTAAAGAAAACTAGTAAGTCCAGCCCAAAGGGGTCCACACCCGGACAAACTCATCAGGGTTCGAGGTGCTATATCACCAAGGAAGTAAGCAGAGTCATCTAAGAGTCTCATCCACGCCGTCTTGGAAAAAGTCAACCGCCAGGTCATCTCTGACCTGATTTGAGTAGAGCCCCGCAACAACCTCTCCGTTGCGAAAATGATGTCATCTCCATCAAATTAACAACTTAGTTACTGATAAGCCACCTTAATCTGTTAGGAGGCGCTAATAAATTGTAAGCCTTGCCAACTACTTGGGGGCATCACACTCAATTGAGCACATCTCTCCTATCTCTCTCAGTTTGTATCTCTCTACTCTCAGTATACACTTTGAAGTAATAAAATACATCAGCGACCCTAGTAATTCAAAATAGATGTAGGTCACATCGACCGAACCACTATAAATTCTTGTCTTACTTGTGTCTCCATCTCTCACTTCTTAATTATTGCATTTATTATTGATCACGTGACAGGTGGTGTACAAACTCAATTTGTGCATCATCAGTTTGACGTCGTCTGTGAAAGACAAAATTCTCACCTAAATACATCTCTTGTTGTGCTTATGGGGATCACCACTATATTCATGAATCAGCCTAAAGATAATCCACCACGGGAGGATGAGATTGATCCTTCACTAACCAATCTTGTTCCAAATGCACAGCAAATACAAGAGACAATGCAACAACTCGTAGCCCAGAATCAGCAAATCCTGCAACTGATATTCACTGGACAACAAGGAGGAACACAGCTCGGAGGACCTCAAGCTAGAGAAGCTCCACGCCTGAGCATCAAGGAGTTCCCCACTTGGACGCCCCACACAGGGGAGCCCACCATGAGAGACCTCCACCTCCACCTCCATCTCTAGCTCCCTCTTCTCATGGTGGAGACCCACATTTTCAAGAGAATGAGGGCGAAAACCAAAGTGTGAAGTATGTGAGTCATTTTAATGACAATTGCAAAGGAGCTCCCAATCACTGAAATGAAAAAATCAAAGAAGTGCAAAATCAGCTAGGCGACGTCCTCAACGCTATGAAAGCACAAGCACCAGAAACCATTGATTACCTGGTAAAGCGAATCGACACACCCTTCATACCAGATGTGGTGAACTACCCACTTCCCCAAAAGTTCAAAATGTTATCTGTAGAAATTTTCGATGGTACAAAGGACCCACTTAATCACGTCGAAACTTACAAGACTTTAATGCAGCTGTACAACGTCCCCTATGAAATTATGTGTAAGGCATTCCCAACTACCTTGAAGGGATCAGCACGACAATTGTTCGTCAAACTCACCCCAGCCTCCATAGGCTTTTTCGCCAAACTGAGCAGATCAACAGATCCTTTGTGACATAGTTCATTGGTGGACATCACAAATAGAAACTTGTCATCCATCTATTCAGCATAAAACAGGATTGAGATGAAAGTCTAAAGAGTTACCTCACTCGTTTTAACGAGGAGGTCCTCCAAATCGAGGAGCCCAATGACAAAGTCACCATAACCGCCTTTTTGGGAGGCCTCTACTCTTCGAGTTTCCTCTTTTCAGTAATGAAGCAACCACCAAAGAGTATGTTAGCACTATTGGAAAAATCTAAAAAATATATAAATGCTGAGGAAATCAACAAGTCCAGGCAAGGTGAATCATCTCGCAGATCATTAAAAGCTTGGCCTATCTTTGCTCTGCTCTTAAGTAGGCAGTTTATCTCCAACTTAGCGGCTCTCTTGCGGGTGGCCAAAAGCTTGGTCTATCTCTGTTCTACTCTCAAACAGACAGTCTATCTCCATCTTAGCAGCTCTCTCGCAAGTCGCCAAAATTTTGGTCTGCCTTTATTCTGTTCTCAAGCAGGCAGCCTATTTCTAGCTTAACGGCTCTCTTGCGGGTCGTCAAAAGTTTGGCCTGCCTCTGCTATGCTCTCAAGTAAGCAGTCTATACCTCCAATTTCGCAGCTCTCTCATGGGTCACCAAAAACTCAATCTCAAAAGGTTCAACTCTCTCACGAGCAATCCTCAATCTCTATCTTTGCTCTCACGCAAACAGTCTGTCTTTTTCTCCAGGTAATCATGTTAGATATTTTGATGTTGGAATAACATTATTTTTGCCATCTCTAGGCACACTTTTGAAACTCATGTCGTCTGTAACCCGCGGGACTACATTAGATTGAATGTCAACAATTGGCCTCATCCATCCAACACAGTCTGCACATCTGTCTGGCCAAGCCCAGTGTCTCCTAAGGCCATATCAACACTCACCAATCCTTGTCCAGTGCACTGGAGTACCAGTCTTGCTTCACAAGCAGCACCCGTCGCCTCTCCAATGGCGCTCAACACTATAGGCACCTTTAGGGGTGCAACTCGGACGGGTTGGATAGTCAACCCTAGCCCAACCCTAGGTATATAATCTTCAACCCTAACCCTACCTCGGGTTGAAGAACTCAACCTGAGCACTTACCGAGTTTAATTCCGGGGGCTCGGGTTGAATTCGGGTTAATAATTTCGAGCTAATTTCGGGTTACTTTACAGGTTCAATTCGGGTTGAGTTCGAGTAGAGCCCAAAATATGCTTGTTGTTGTAAACCTAATACATATATTACATAATATTCACATAAATTAACAACCAATAACTTTAACAAAGTTTTAACAGTGTTAATGCTAGAAAAAAAAATGAAAATGAACAAGAGAAACAGAAAACGATAGAACAAAAATGAAACATTAGTGCTAATGCTTTATATATATATATATATATTTTAAATTGTCGGGTTCAGGTTGAAATCGGGTTAGGATTTTCTAACCCAAGTCCAACCCAAATTGAATTCGGGTTGGAGTTTTCTGACCCAAGCCCAACCCAAGTATTAAAAACCCTTGCCCAAGTCCTAATTTTTTCGGATTGAAATTGGGTTGCCCAACCCAAGTTGCACCCCTAAGCACCTCTATAATAGCGCCCAACACTGTAGGCGCCTTTCCAACAGTGCCCAATGCCATAGACGCTTTACCGTTAGTGCCTAGCGCCATGGGCGCCCTTCCAACAACTCCAAGTGCCTCTCCGGCGTCATCCTGTCAGTGCCAATCACCCGAGGCACCTCACCATGGGCTCGCCCCAACCCCTCTTGCACGCCCAACACCTCGTCGCACATAGTCTACTCGACCAACACCTCGTGCATAGGCTCGCCTAATGCCTCACGCGCAAGCGTTGTGAGGCTCGTCCAGTGCCCTTCCTACGTGCCCAACTAGCGCAGTAGCCCCTCCTACACGCCTCTCCTGCGCACACAGCCAGCTCACCCACATTCCTTGCACGAACAGTTTGCTTGACGACTCCACATCAACGCCTACTCCTTTCTGGCGCCTATAACTAGCTCGCCCGGCACCTCCACACTGCCATAACCACCAGCAGCCCCCACTGCCTACCTTTGTGCTAGATGCTCCATCGTCATGGAAGCCAGTGAACCTTCGAATCTTCTTTCCTTCGCTCGACATTAAATTCTGAGAACTCGTCTTAGAAATAAAACCTCTAACCTTGGTCTTCAAGTATCTCAAGAAGGAACTTTTCTCTCAAAATTGTATGAAAAATGGCTAGAATGGAAAAAGGGGGAAAGTCCCTATTTGAAACCAAGGGATCCTCTAGAACCCAAATGCAAGGGTGAGGTCAGAAGGAGTCTCCACCAACTGGAATGCAAAGTTCAACCAAATGCCCCTTCTTCAAGTTTCATTGGACAGGGGGCAAATGATAAACTAGGCCTAATGGTCCAACTCATGTTGAAAGCTTAATTGAAATTAGGAGCCCAACTTAAAGAAATCCAGTAAGTCCAACCCAAAAAGGTTCACGCCCTGATAAACTCATCAAGATTCGAGGAGCTACATATCATCAAAGGAGTAAGTAGGGTCATTCAAGAGTCTCATCTATGTCGTATTGAAAAAAGTTAACTGCCACATTATCTCTGATCTGATCTTGAAGAGAGTCTTGTAATAGTCTCATCCGTTGCGAAGATGACGCCACCTTCACCAAAGTAGCAACTTAGTTACTAATAAGTCGCCTCAATTTGTTAGGAGACGCCAATAAATTGTAAGTTTCGCCAAATACTTGGAGGGCATTTCACTCAATCGAGTCCATCTCTCCTATTTCTCTCAGCTTGTATCTCACTGCTCTTATTATACACCTTGAAGTAATAAAATACACTGACGATCCTAACCATTCAAAATAGATGTAGGTCACGCCGACCGAACCATTATAAATTTTTGTCTTACTTGTGTCTTCATCTCTCATTTCTTAATTACTACATTTATTACTGATCACTTGACAGATAGTGTGCAAACTCAATTTATGTATTATCAATAATTTAAAAAATAGAGGTGTTCTTGAAAATATGATAAATTGCAAGCAGTGGTACTGAAATTTTTCTAATAAAATATTAAAAATATGAATTAACTTATTGTATATTTAAAAAATAATATTTTTTTAATTTTAAATCAATATTTTTCTTAATACGTGTCGCCACATCAAAGAAAATGTCGGGACAAGTGTACGGCACCTGTCTTAGCCGTTTCTTTCGCACGTATTTTCCCTTTCACTTCTCCATCTTCCAAAATCAACTGCTCACTCTCTCTCTCTCGCTCGCTCGATCCCTCTAGATTTCTTCACCGTACCTCCGCTCTCTCCTGCTCTATCACCGCAAATCCACAGCCCCTTGTACCCCAAAAGTACTTGGTGTCTCCATAGCCGTTAACTATCTAAATTATTTAGAGATACATATATATAGTAAGTGACAGCTCATATATATTTCGATTCACATACAATTCATGGGGAAGAGAAAGCGAAGAGGCGACCAGAACAAGACTTCGCCTCCTCCTGGTACGTTTCTGTCCTTTCTCCTTTCAACCCTTTCTTAGGGTTTTGATTCTCTTTCTTTTGACATCCTTTCTCTCTCATCTAGTTTTGGATTGGTGTTTATATGTTGAAATTGGTTTTGAGAGATGAATATTTGTAATTTGGGTAATACTTGTGGTCTTCAAATGTTCCAATGTGCCTTTATTGACAGAAAATTGTACAGCATTGTTTGATAAGCAAATCAACACACACACACACACACACACACACATATATATATATATATATATCTTCATCAAGAATGATTACAGTATCGAAGGAGACTCTGCCGAAAGTAATGAGTAAATAACGAAAATTACGGCTAGAAAAGGGGGAACTTTAGCCTTTAGAATCGATTCTTAGATATTAATATCAACCCAAACAGCTTTATTTTATTGTAATCTCATCAGGACCTAGTCTGTTATAACTCTCAGCACGATACCCAAAAATAATTTTTTGGTGTGTAGTCTTTCATTTTGCTATTGAAATCAAGAGAAGTGATTTGCGTTAGTTGCCGATATTATAATCAAAGGTGCGAAGGTGCTGGGAGGGATTGAAAGGTTTCATAAGTTAATATTTGGCATTATACTCACAGGCTTGGATCTATGACCTTATGATTGTTAGCCTGAGCATACCACCATTTCACTGGGCAATGACCACTTAAGTTGTACTTACGAGAGAGGGGAAAAAAATAAAACAGCTGAATTGTGACTGATCATCATGTTTTGTTTTGGATATTGCAGGCCTCATGCCATGTTCTGTTCGTATGGATGCATTTTCGGATCAGGTTAGTTGTTTCCTACGGTTTTCATGGCAGATAATTCTGTGTTATTGGAGGTGTTAATTATTTGTCACATTTGACATCTCATCGATCGTGTTAAAATTAGCTCAGTAATCCTGCCAAATAATTTTCCTCCAATGCACCATTTGATTGTTGAGATGGTAAAAGTAAATCCTGTGGGAAAAAAATGTAATCTTGCTTTACTTTCGGATTTGGATTGGAATATTTGTATCATGTATCTTATTTTTTTTTGTAGTCGCTTCCCATTTTCTTGCAGAAATCTTATCCTTCAATTGACACTAGTACAATAAAGCCTCTCTCATCCATTATGGATATCATGGATGGTTCCTTGAAGGTACCAAATGTGCGGCATTCTCATTTACATCATAATAATAGGAGTGCACCACGTAATTTTTATGGCCATCAATATTCGCGGCGAAACTCTGCCAGCCATGCTGAAACATCAACTTCTCGTGGCAAGGGTACTCCTCTACGAAATGAGCAGCAGTCTTTCAAGCTGGCTACTCAACCCAAGTTGGACTCTGGATGTTATACTGGTGCTCTTTATATCCTGTCCTTTTATTTTTAATATTTCTCCAATTGGATGGAAATGAAGTTCTGGGAAAATTTTGTGTTAGGATTGTTTTGGTAGGCATGTGGAAATGAATTCACCCCATGCTCAAGATTTTGAACTCGTGTTCTAGATTGTGCCCCGTTATTGTTAATTTTTCTTTGGATGAACAAGTAGAATTTTATTAATTTGAAGGTTCTGCCAGGAGATGAGGCATTATAAAGTCCGACACCCACGCTACATCCATACAATCAATTCACGAACAATTTGAGCATGTCTAGCCAATTGCTGTGCCACTTTATTATCTGTCCTACAGACTGCTGATACTTCATTGGGTGACATACAGCTGACTTGTACGTATTGAACTTCCAACGTAAAATGGAATTGTGTGGCTTTATGAGGGATAGCCATAGAACAATTGTCATTTGATATAAGTCTATGTTCTTCTTCAAACATGAGCAACATAAGTGCTATATAAATCAACTGTCACTTCTGGTACAAGGGGAAAAAAAAAGGGAATTTAACTATCAGTTCATCCTAAGATGCAAATACTTGTCCAGTTATGTTGTTCTCTTGTGAATATTTATCTTTCCTTATAATTTTTTTGTTCTCTTTCAGACAGTAGGGACAGATTTTTTTGCAGACCAGAAAGAATTAGGTCCAGTTCCTCAGCAATGGATGCCATATCACCCGATGTTGTGAAGATGGTATGTGGAATATGTCAGAAGCTGTTGAAAAGGAGGCCTTACATTCTGGAAAACACAGTATCTTCCAGTGATATTTCCGTCGTGGCAGTTTTAGTTTGCGGTCATGTTTACCATGCTGATTGTTTGGAACAAAGAACATGCCATGAAGATAGGCGGGATCCAGCCTGCCCGTTGTGTCTAGGCCATGATGATATGCTTCAAGAGGATAGTGTGACTGCACGAATGCTGATTTTGTAAGAAGAAGATCAGTAAGTTGGCAAAGACAGGACACGTATAGTTGAAAAATTAGGCAACTAATGTACATTAAGTACTGATTTGCAGGCTAGGAATCTGAATCTGCATTCTTTGCAGGTTTTGTTGTTGTTGTTGTTGTTATTATAGTAAGGTGTGTAGTACATATGAATCATCGTGAACAATCTGGATACGAGGCTGAGATTATCCATGCTTTTACAAGGTATATGGATCTTATTTACATTATATCCTTTTGAGTGAGTGACATTTTGCACCCTTAAAGATTTTAAATTCTCACATTTTTTGTTCTATAATTTTGTTGCCGTTTTTTAATTTTTTTTTTCCGCACACAATGAAACGAGCCACATTTCTCTATTTTTCTGCCGTTTTTTTTTTTTTTTTTAAAGTTTTGTACATAATTATTTGTATATCACTCAATTTTAGTTTATTAAAATGAACCACATTTCTATTTTTTTGTTTAATTGATGGTGTAAGAAGGTGAAGACCCATTGGTTAAAAATCTTTTAAAGTGCTCCTATCCTTCTTGGTGCCGTCATTCCAAGTTGACGTTCTTCTCTGTTCCCCTTTTTCCTCCATTTTTTGGTATGCCTGTTGCCACCTTTTCTGGGAATTTATTTCCCTAGGAATCCCAGTTTCATTAAATTATTCATCTTTCTAATACGACAATTTGATTCATTCAATTCTCACTTTCTAGATGCTTAGAAGAGGAAGAAAATGTAAGCATTACTGCCAATGTTCAAATTATCCTGCACTGGTTGCTGATATTTACGTTCTTAAAACCCGAACTCCAAGAACAGAAATGAGCTTAAAACTCAAACGTGCTGAATTTAAATTTTGACAATTTTTTGTAGTCAGCCAATAATAAATTTACCCCTTATAATGACGTAGATAGTTTGTCTTTATCCGGATCAGAAAATATATTAGTGAAGGTATGTGTAAATTAGTTCAGACAACTTTGATCGTTGAAAAAAAAAAGTCTTATACGTAAGAATTTAACTTGGTATTCTATTTAGCCTAATTATACAATTATTGTGTTTTGAGTTTTTTTTTTTAAGCAAAAAAATATTGTCAATAAAAATAAAAACATTTTATTGTTTTTATAAAATTGATCTAAAAGTATATTAATACATAGATGACTAATGTATATTTGCACAAATGTATATATATTACATTAAGAGTGGAGAAAATGAGCAAAACAAGATGAAACGAAAAAAAATGGAAAATAATACAAAAAAAAATACTATTTAAAATAAGTACTTAAATAGCTTTATGAAACTGTACCATAAAAAATACATAAAATACAAAAACAAGTAGAAAATGATTGATGAAAACAAAAAACGCTGAACACTGCAAGTCCAACAGTATAAATTCAGACAAGTTTGAACTGCTCTACAGTCTTGTCATTTAGAAAGCATAAGTGCACAGCAATTCTAAGATGATATGAATACGAATACATCAAACAAGTCAAGTCTCGACCTGCACAATCATAAAATCTGTACATTAACTCCATACAAGAGGTCACAGGACCCGTAGATCAGCCTCGCATCTAGATTTTTGTTCTTATTTTTTCATTTCAGGGAGAGGGGGGCGTTGTCAGGGCTCAAACCTGCATCGTCCACTTTGCGGGTTTGCACTTCTACAGCCTTAGTGCTGTCGTGGATCAAGGGTTGCACTTCTACAGCCTCAGGGTTGCCAGGGCTTGAACCTATGTTGTCTGCTTCACGAGGTTCCGCTTCTACATGCTTAGGGTTGCCATCACTCAAACCTGCATTCTCCACTTTGCAACTTGCTTCATCCACTTCACAGGGTTGCACTTCTACAGCCTTGACGAGGCTCAAACCTGCGTCATCCACTTCGCAAGGTTGCACCTCTTCAGACATGGGGCTTGAACCTACATTGTTCACTTCGCAACCTGTGATGTCCACTTCACAGGGTTGCACTTCTATAGCCTTGGGGCTTGAACCTACGTTGTCCACTTCGCAGCCAGTGATGTCCACTTCACAGAGTTGCATTTCTTCAGCCTTGGGGTTTACATGGCTTGAATCAGTGTTGTCCCCTTCTCCAGCCTTGCATGTAGATTTGTTGTGACCTGCTTCCTTGCACCTAGAGCAAGTAACTGTCCTTTTATTCGCTTCCTCTGTTTTGGTTCGCCCCTTCTTCTGTTGGCTCGATGGTTCAGAGGGGCAAGGAGGAAGCACAGGTGCAGTGTCTGATTCAGCCTCTTCTTTTTCCACAGCCATTGGTACAGGGTTTATAGACTCGGAATATGTCAAACGGAAGCTTTCGATGGTGTAGTATTTTGGACAATAATCATATACGCTTCTACCTGTACGCTTGAAGACTGCAATAGCATGGCGGCATGGTAATCCACTTCTTTTCCACTCAAGACAACTGCATTCCCAGTTGGTAATATTCACAACATGGATGGAAACATCATGAACCTCGAACAAGGTATCCGTTGAAACAAATACTTTCAGACCATGTGCCTTATGACCTTGTTCTTGCAGCCTTCTCTGTTGCGATGGAGTAAGTTTCGTAGACCACTTGCTTGAATCCATTCGACAATTGTTAATCAACTCACTCATCATACATCTCAGGGTTTCTATCTTCTGTATTATGGATGATTCCCACACGTCCTCCATCAACTTGGTGTACGGCTCACCAACATCTAGTGTAATATGGTTATAGGGCTCACCTTTAAATAACAAACTCGTCCAATACTCTGGCTCAACTTGCATGACCCAATTATATGCCTCCAAAGAAATCTGCTTAATTTGCTCGGTGAACTTCGTGAAACCACTGAGTCTGACTGCATGAGCAGCAGACAAAAGATTACCAGGCAAAGAAGCTTTCCCATCTCCTTGAAATGGACCCTTCAAGTGTTCGTTGAAGCTTTCTATAAGGTGGTACATGGAATAACCATGGTGAGCATTCTCAAATACCTCCAGCACAGCTTTCCTTAAATTCTTCTCTCTATCTGAGACAAAAGTTATGGATTGTGGAGTAGACAAAGCAGAGTTCAACTGCTCCAAAAACCAATGCCAATTATCATCATTCTCGACATCTATAATAGCAAATGCAACAGGGAAGAAACCATCATCACCATCCACTGCAGTTGCTGTCAACAAAGTTTCTTGGTATTTTGATTCAAGGGATGTGGCTTCTAGAAAAAGAATCGGACGGCAACCGTTCAGGAATCCATGTATTGTGGAATTAAACGATACAAAAAGACGTTGGAATCTATTATCATCGTTTGTGGTGAGCTTAGCAAAACTGCCGGGATTTGACTCCACCAACTTCTTACAAAAACGTGGCAATTGATCATATCCCTGAAGTTGCTCCTTAGCATCCTCAATCCCACGCCATACTTGTGTATAGTTTAATTCTAAACCGAAGTCCCGAAAAATGCTGCTAGCAATTTCCTTAGGCTTCTGATGTGGGGAATCTCGTAATTTGTCTTTTATTATGCTCACCAACCAATTCTTTGCCGAATGAGCAGACCTGGATTCCACCCCACACATGTGTGAATTGTTCAACTTTTTAATCTTACACAAGCGACTGGCTGGGACCCAAGATGCCTGAATCCTCCATGAGCACCCTTCCGCAACACATCTACCACTAGCACCATTAGTGTCATCTTTTGTTAACTTGCTAACAAAACGATGTGCAATGGCATATTTTTGCAGTGCATCTTTGAACTCTTTGACACTTTTGAATTCTTGACCAACACCAGTGATACTATCTTTCCATGTCGCAATTTGTTTTTCCAGCGAATCATCATCTGAGACCGCGCTGTCAAAATCACTTTTCCCAGTTGTAGGATCTCGGTTCTGCTCCATGTCCTCAGCAATGGCATCAAAACTGTGACTTCGCCTATTCCTTTTCCGTGATCTTCTCTCTGGGGCATCATCAGGGACCGCAACAATGGTAGGACCATTGACTCCAAATTTCCAGGAGGCAGTTCGCCTTCGCTTCTTAACAGTATCTGCCGGGGAACAATCACGGATTGCATCAACTGCCACAGTGGAGTGTGGAGCATAATCAGAATCATAATCAGCAACATAGTCAGAAGACGGGGTTGAGTCACTAGTGGGGCTCTGAGTAGTTGCATCAACAGCTATTACAGATTCAGCTGGATTAGCACGAGTGGCAGAAGTGGTGCGTCTGGAACGGGCTACATTTCGACCAACAGGATTACCATGATTGACTGTAGGTGACTTAGCAGCAATTGTGGGCGAAACAACACGGTTTACAGTCTCGGCCAGTTTGACATCATTCTCCCTGCAAGGATTACTAATTTGATTACATTCATGCACAATATTGCAAAGGCCAAATGCCACATCATAATCAAAAGGGTTGCTGCCTCATTTGTTGAAAAGCAGGTTTATTTTAGGCATTCACAGAACTACTTTGTCTAATTAAAAGGGTTCTTGGTGTGATGCGGTGTGCATTATCTGGCAACAGCAACTACGCTGACAGTATATTTTCACCTCCACCATATAAAAATGAAGGTATAATGCCATGCTGGTGTTCCTGAAAACATACCTGTTGGCAAACATGTTCAAGGCATCGCGATCGAAACCTTCTCTTCCCGAAACAAAAATATCAGCTGTAACTGATTTCCCATGAAAATCAACCAACCTTTTTAGATCCTTGTCATTCTTTAAAGTAATGAGATTGCGCTTGTTTCCAGGAAGGAAGTACTTGATAGACACTGAATTGTAGTCCAAATTACACATTTCAGCCAATTTTAACTTCAGATCATTGAACTGGGTGTCATCATTGATATTTATTGCATTTGCTTCTCCCCCAGCATATGACAAAGTCCCATCATCATTCTTCTCAAACTCACCACCAGACTGGCAGATCAAAATCAGCTTCCTCCTTACCATTGTATTATCTTCAGAAGCTCACATGAACAATCAGGATAAAAAGTTAAAAAAACGTTTACGGCTCTAGTCTTGGGAGTGATAAAAATAAATTCTTATAAAATAACTTGGATTCAGTGAAATGTTTTCTGACAACAATTGTAATACAAAGACCAATCAAGTCAAAAGCATGAGCAAATGAAAAAAGATTTTGAGAAGTATGTACACTACAGGTATTTTATGGATGACTGCTGAAAATAAGACGCACTCAACCAGCTCTACATGAAGTAGACATAGAGTTGGTGACTATGAAGCACGGATACGGACACAGGATACGAATACGATATGGATACGGCGATACAACAAAGTCTAAAAAAATTGGATACAGATACGGCCAAGATACGGCTATAATAAAATATATTTAATATTTTTATTATTTTTAACCAATTTAATACTTATATATTTTGGTAGTTCTTTGATATATAATAAGAAAAATTAATAATTCTTTTTAGTTTCAAGAAAATATATATCGTATCACTAAGGTATATTTACAAAGTGAAGTGACTAATTAAAGAAATCAAAATTAATATTTACCTAATGTTTAAAAGTAATTTTTGCTAAGATTATAATATAATAGTTTTATTTTATGCTCTTTTGACAAGTAAATGTAGATAATATTTAAGAAACACTCATGTGCCTTTGAAGTAATATGAATTTTTGGTAATATATTGTATGGTATGTGAATTCGAAACGAGATGTTAAAAATTCAATTCAAAAATTATACATGTTGCTCGATTACAAAATTATCCGTGAAGTATCATAATATTTAATTATTATCGGATATGTAGAAGGTGTATTCGATTCGTATTTTCGAGTATCCAACGAGTATCATATTCGATACGGTATCAAATACGGGTACGCCAACTTCAATGATGTATCCGTACTTCATAGTTGGTGATGATTTATTGAGACATCAAATTCCATTAGGAATAGAAGAAATTCAATTTAGTTTGTAAAACCTTGTATGCCATTTTTGGATTTCATTGTTAGAGCATCCAACTAAAAACTAGTTGGTTAGGAGTAAAGTAGCCCCTCAGGTATATGTATATATTTTTTTTTTTAACAAACACAAATTCATCACACAAATATAACTACTCACCCAACCTCAATGCAGATCTCTCAACAGAGCTCCACAAGTGAGTCCAAAAGGCCAATATACCCCAGTCAACATGAGTAATCCTAATTATTCAATGTGGGATACAAACTCTCTTTACAGTCCTGAACTATTACAGAGTCGTTAAAACGTGATAGGCTGACAGCAAAAAAAAAAAAAAAAGAAAAATCAAAGCAAATAATGTGTTAAAACAGTAAGTAATTCAAATTCCACAAGAAACCAGAATGCCAAGCTGAGAAAGAAGTCTCACTACTGACAGATGCTGCCTATGATCTGGTTGGAGATGGCCAGCCTAAAATATCATAAGGAAGAAACTTTTTCAAGAGAAAAATAATAAATCAGAAAAGGACAAAAATAACGCCTATAAAGTACGCATATGTTGAAGGGACATTTTTGTCAAATAAATTGTGCAAAGGGAGCTAACGTCTCATGTAAATAAACCAAATTTATGATTCTGGATGACATATTTCTAATTTACTCATACAAGTCACCATTACAGAAAACCATGCCAAAAAAGAAGGGCTGACATGGAAGCCAAAAGAGATAGTTAAGGACAAGGTTTAAGTTCTTGTTGTTAGTCAAGAATCCAGTAAACTAACCAAAGGGCCCAAATTGAGTAACCTAAGTATATAGAAAATCATCTACGCAAGAGCACAATCATCATCAAACGTGGGCTAAATTTCTATCCAAATAACACGTGCAAAGAAAACAATGCTAATAACTGGGACACCAATAGAGTAGGAAGGGAAAGTTATCTAAGTCCATGGAAGGTCATTTCTCAAGGGTTGAATAGATTCTTACTATTAGTCAAATAAATTGTGGGTAATGGTGAGAGAATTAGGTTCTAGGAGTATAATTGGCTTGGGGACTATTCATTTTCATGTAGTTTTCCTCGTCTTTATGGGCAATCACGTGCTCATAATTCTTCCATTACTTCCATAATTCATTATACTTCTCTTTCATATATTCTTGGGATTGTGGTTTTCATCAAACCTTGGTGATAGAGATGTCTTGAGTACGACCTCACTTCTTCTTATGCTTGATGGCATTAACTTGGTTCAAGAGTCATTTGATAATAGATAGAGGGTCACCTATTCTTCAGGTATTTTTCTTGTCAATCCTTCTTTGATTCATGGATTGACCATATTTTAGTGCTTGGACTATTGCAAATGGTAGATTTTAAAACTAATGACTTTCTTCAAAGGAGGACTCAAACCTTTCTCTCGCCAAAATGATGTGCTATGTGTCGTGGCCGTAGAAAATTTGTGGATCGCCTAGTTTTACATTGTCATGGTGCTATGTCTTTATTAAATAAGTTGTTTTATGTTGTAGTATTGAGTTGGATGGCTCCTAGGCGAGGTCCTTCGCATCTATGTTTCTTTAGCACTTTTGATGGGGGAACGAAAAAAGGAATCACATTATGAATGTGTAGTTGCTTTTCGATTATGTGGGTGGTTTGGATGGAATAGAATACAAGAATATTTTATAACAGATGTGAGGTGATTGAAGGTTATGGGAACGAAGCAAATTTCTAGCATCTTTTTGGCCTCCGTTACTAAAGAATTTTAAGGAACTCAACTCTTTTGTACTTTGTTGCAATGGCATGCTTTGTGTGATTTTTAGCTTTGATTTTTAAGCGTTACCTAATTTTCCATGTAATGATTTTGGTTAGAATTCTTGTCCAACTACACTACTATAATTTTCTTTATGATTAATAAATTTTTTGTCCCTCAATAAAAAAAAAATGATTCAACAACAATGATCAAAGTTTTCAAATGCCTACACCCAATGGCTTTCTCAAAGTTAAAAAGAAAAAGAAAAAAAATTGCTTCATCTTGCTTTCTTCAAGTAAAGTGCAATAATAGTTAAGGTCACTATACTGGCAATCGACTCGGTGGAACTAAGACGCGTCGGTTGCAACATCGCGTAGTTATATCTAGCGATACACAATATAGATAAAGTTAGACATGATGAAAGATTCAAATCTTATGGCATCATCGCTGAATGCCATCGGCTGTCCGAGAGATGATGACACTCGGAGCCATCTCAAACGGCCCAAGCGAGTGGTGTGAGACTCGTGATTTACAAAAAAAAATGTAGAATGGTACCGAATCAGAAGGTGTCATGTCAGCTACGACTGAGTCAACCAGTATCAGTTTTAACCAATACTTTGAACCATGAGTGCAATGACTAGTTCCAAAGGAAAAAGACAAGAAAAAATATGCAAACAGACACTAGTGCAATTAACACCTTCCTCCAACATGGGATTTCTCACTAGTGACCCATTACTTCAATGTTTTTCATGTTTCCAACAGAATTTTTTTTCCCAACCTGTTAGTGCACTCCATATTGGCGGGCAGGCCAAAACTGGGTGAAGAATTTCCACTTGTGGGAAAGAATTCTATACCCCGTCAGAGGGAGTCATAAATGAGTAAGCAAAGTTTGAATTATTTTGAAACTCTCTCACCAACATGTCCTTCAACAAAGTAAAAACATTTAGGTTTTCAAGACTTCACATTCTACATTTGTTACCATAATTTCTCTTCACAATAAAAATTGCATAAACCACAAATCACACAATTAGAATATCAGTCTTCAAAAACCTAGAAACAGCAATAGCAGAAAAACTAGCTTGTGGGTCATCAACATGTTAAGAGAATGCATTTTTTCTGCAGTAGGTCAACTACAACCATAGCTCAGCAACAAAGTCCACAAATCCAACTTGTATGCTCATTTAATCACAAAACCCATTGACCAACACACCATATTGAGCTAAAACTAGTCACATATTAGCAGTAATTGCACAAAATTCAGAACAGGTATGGATGAATGGAATAGATTGATATTATATACGTAAAAGACAGATTAATACTATGAGTGGAAGCAGTAAATGAAAAACCAGCTCGGTTAGAGAGAGATTTGAGAAGACTTACCGGAAAATGTGACGGAGTGACTGGCCGGTGGATGGAAACCCTAAACTTGGGGGCTGTTTCGAAATTAGGGCAAAAAAGAGAGAGCCTTCGTCGAAATGAAGGGCGAGGGCGTGTTGAGAAAAGAAGTATTGAGATTGGGCTAGCTGTTGGAAGTACAGATAATAAATAATTTGTATAGTAGGGGTTGATTTGGAATTAAATGAAAATTAAGGCATTGTAGATTACAAAGTGTTGACCTCAACCCACGTGGGTGGGCCTAATTGATTAATGAGTCCAGCATGGGCTTGCAATGAACTGAGTCCAATACGACAGAGGCCCACTACGATGTTGCAAGAGACAGAGAATGCACATAAGACTTTTGTTCATAATCTTATAATTGTAGATTTATTTCATATTCGAGTCGTGTTATTTCTCTCTTAACTATATCTACTATTTTAGTTTTCCTTAATTCAAATATTCAAATCTTAAGGAGTTGGCCTATTGGAAACATTTTAGAGGTTTTTACTCAAATTTTCAATACTCAGATTTCACTCTTTTAAAAAACATATTTCGCATTCTTTTAAATTTGAATTTATCTTTTTTTAAATTTGAGTTTTTTTTTCTTTTTTTACTCACCACTATACTACAACGATAAATTTAACTTTATTCATTGGAGTTTTTTGTATCAAATTAAATTTTTTTATTTAAATTTGAGTGAAAATTTGGAGAAAATGTAATGAGTATGTCAAGGAAGCTTTTAACCAACAAAGTATGCTTTTCACGAGGAAGAAGATTGGAGTAGCGAGGACCATGCCTGATTTCTAAACTCAGTTTTATTCACCAACTGTTGAAATGTTTGAGGAGTGACCCAGCCAGTAATAAGGACTAAACCACAACCTATAACATTTAGTCTAGTTGTTTATCCAACTTTCTCAAAATAGGGTATCATGCGATTAGTCCGGTCCACGTAAAGTTTTATCGATTTTGTTCCTGATGATGTGTGGACTCGAGATGAAAGAGAGATGCTCAAGTTGAAAAGCTGAAGGAATATAAACACTGTATCAATGTAATCGGTGTTTAGAGCTGGAGCCTGCTGGCTCTACCTAATGCTACAGTTAATCAAGGATAATGGTATGAGCTGAGAGGAAGAAGGAACACAGAGATTATGGTAGTTCATAAGTTATGGAGTTTGGTTAATCCATTTTGTTCCTTTGATAATTGTATATTTCTTGAAGAAGAAAAATTGGATACAATTCATTCAATGCCTTTATATGAAAAGGGCGTTGGTATTTATATCCGCATGTGTGGTGTTGTCGTCGTCGTCACGTAGTCTCTTAGTTTGTTAAGATTCTATTGATGTAATATTAGGTCATTAGAGCTTATATTCCTTAGGCCGTTAAAAGTTATATTCTCTAAGTGTGATTTGACCTTTTAAAACATGTTGAGGTGACAGTGTGACCTGTTGATAATCTTACACGATTGTGGAAGAGCCTGTCGTGCGGTTGCTCTGCTTTGGGACGAGCTCTCATTTTATGGTCAGCTCGTGCGAATGGGAGCTCAGTCCAGTCAATCTTGGGTCGACCTGGGTCCCTTTTATGGACTAACGTTCGACTACAAGGTTGGGAGACAGGCCTCATTACATAACCCTGTAATGACCCATTTATTTGGCTAGTTTATTGTTAATTAGTAATATGCCTAATAATTCACATTATTTGCATAAAATGAATGTCCGAACCCATATTCGGAATATTGTTTGATATTTTAAACACTGAATTAGTGAATCCGGTAACTAAAAGGAACTGGAAAACTTGGGAGAAACTTATACGGAAGCCTCATCTCTAGCTAATGAATCATTGAACCCCATGCCAAGCAAAACTGATCCATTTGAGGAAGAGTATGAGCCACGGAGGCAGCCTCCTTTAGAAAAAGGTTACAGTCATGTGCAAGAATGAGCATGGGTGGGCCCCGTCAAGAAACACAATGACGGACAACTTGCTTATTGACGTGAACAGTTCTAAAATTCAGACTTGTGTTGCCCTTGGTTGGTTTATTCCCAGGGCATGGTAGTCATATTTTTTTATATAATCAAGAATATTTCAATCAAATTTAATTTAATTTAATTTTGAAAAATAAGTTAATTTATTTATTTATTATAATGGACTTTCAATTTTATTACAATATTTAATCTTGATTGTACCTAAGCATCATAATATTAATGCATATTTAATTGTATTGTCCCGTTTATTCCAACGAAATTTTCGTGATTATAATTTTAAAATTATTATATTCATTCGGTCTTACTTTAGGATATTATTTATTCCACTCAAACATTTAATAACCAATAAAATCACATTGCCATTGCATTAAAGTCCACACAATTGTAAAATAATTTTGGTAGTTATTGAATTAAAAAATTACTTTTGGAAACACCCACATACAGAGTAGTCCACAAAATTAGAAATACAAGGGATTATTACTGCATGACTAAACAGAAGAATCCAACCAACTCTCATACATAATGGGAAAAATTTTAGCCGTGTCGCTCTGCGTAATTTATTATATCTTTAAGAACATCTCTTCTATTATCAAAAATATCACTGACACATTTTCTAATTTATATTTAAATATCACTAACACCACTTGTCACTAAACTATCATCGCTAACAAAAAAAATTTGTCTAAAGTATCAAAAATACCCTTACATAAACTCGAAACAATCTTTCTACATAAAAGTTGATTAAAATTCAAGCCAACTATTTTTTTTTTTTACATATTAAAATTCGAATTGATTAAAATTATTTTTTCTACGTATTAAAATTTCAGCCGATTAAAATTCAATTCGAGCTGATTAAATTTTATTTTTTTTACATACTAAAATTCAAGTCTATTAAAATTCCTTTTTAACTTATTAAAATGCGAACCAATTTGAGCTCTAACTGAGTTGTTAGCGCTGATTAAAATTTGTTTCGAGTCGATTAAAATTTATATTTTATTACTTATTAAAATTTACGCCATTAAAATTCGATTCATTAAAATTTGAGTAGATTAAAATTTATATTTTTTTTATGTATCAAAATTCAGACCGATTAAAATTCAATACGAGTTGATTAAATTTTGATTTGAGAATTGGCTCAAATTTTAATATGTAAAAAAAATCTAATTTTTAATCGAGTTGAATTTTAATACGTAAAAATCAATTTTAATTAGCCTAAATTAAATTTTAATCGACCAAAATTTTAATGCATAAAAAAAATTAGAAAATAAAGAGGGTTTAATTGAAGATATACTTATCTAGAGGGGTGTGGATGAAGTTTTTTCTCTAATATATCATGACTAATTTAATAAAATTGCATTCTAATAATATTTTTAATCTGACAGGGGTGTCAGTGAAGATTCAAAAAATAAATGAGACTTCTTTTAAGATTTGATAAACTAGAAAAAAAGTGACCAAAATTTTTCCTAAATTATAACTCTAAAGAGTCAGCTTTGTGGTAACTCAATAACCTCATAAACATCTCGTTAGGGGTTAGTCAAAAATCTAAATATCTCACAAAACATATTCTTTTGGGGGTCACTATTCATAAATTTATCTCGTTGTGTAGATAGACGACTTTGCACANTAAGGTTGAGCACCCACTTCTTGAAAATCTTGAGAGCCCATTCTTGTGAATCTTGAGAGCTCATTCTTATGAGCAAAGTTTTTTCCATTCCATTGAGACTTGGGAAAAGGGAGGCAAGACTTGAAATCTTTCAAGATCATTTTGTTGGTATTCTTGGATGAAGTTTTTTTTTTTTTAAGTGGATATTTGGAGCTTTGAAAGAGGTGGAATAGAGAGGCTATATTGGTGTCATGAGGAGTGGCGAAATTAGGGCTGAGGAGAGTGATCTTGGAGCATTTGAAGTTGCAAGGATCGAAGGAGAAGGAGGAGGANAAATTTATTCATTAGAGTATCTTATACAAATTAAATTTTTTATTCAAATGTTAACTTACATTTAGGTAAAAACTTGGAGATCATGACATGAGTATCACAAGAAAGTTTTAAATAACAAAAGTATGTTGATCATGAGGANGATCGAAGGAGGAGGTGCTCACCAGCAGCCCGTGCAAGCGCCTGTAGACGCTGCTTTTGGGCGCTGATTCAAGCGCTACACATGTGGGTTTTGATGTTTTTGGCATGGCTCCCAACCTGGGTAGGCACGGAGAGAAAAAGATGGACTTTCTAAGCAAGCTGGGCAGCGAAAAAGGGGTTGTTCTGGGCAGTTTTGATGCGCTGGGCAGCTGTTTGAGCGCTGATTTTTCTGTCCTGGACAGCCCAGGCGCGCTGGACAGNAAGGAGGAGGAGAAAAATCCTTGCTACCTTTCACGCTCACCAGCAGCCCGTGCAAGCGCCTGTAGACGCTGCTTTTGGGCGCTGATTCAAGCGCTACACATGTGGGTTNATATCCGTGTCTCTCTCTAGCTGCGATTTGGTTGTTGTAATTCTAATAGTTCACATTATTACCATAAAATGAATGCCTTTATGATCCAACCCATAATTGAAATTGATGATGCACAAAATAATTTTACANAGCGCTACACATGTGGGTTTTGATGTTTTTGGCATGGCTCCCAACCTGGGTAGGCACGGAGAGAAAAAGATGGACTTTCTAAGCAAGCTGGGCAGCGAAAAAGGGGTTGTTNTTATCTGTCAAGTGTAAATAATAAATGCAGTAAAAGTAAAGAGAGAATTAGATGAGACAAGATTTATAGTGGTTCGGTCAACTCGACCTATATTCACTCTTGAATGACTCTAGTTGCCGAGTATTTTATTAATTTAAGGGTGTGGAAAGCAGAGAATACAAGCTTTGAGGGAGCGGAGAGAGTCGTGCTCAGGAAAAGTGTGATGCCCAGGTAATCAGTGTCCTCCCAAGTGTTGATGGAGCGTACAATTTATAGTGGCCCCCTAACAGATTGGGNGGGGTTGTTCTGGGCAGTTTTGATGCGCTGGGCAGCTGTTTGAGCGCTGATTTTTCTGTCCTGGACAGCCCAGGCGCGCTGGACAGCTGCTTGGGCGTTGGTTTTGCTGTCTTGGACAACTCAAGTGCGCTGGGCAACAGTTTAGACATTGTTTTTGCTGTATTGGACAGCTCAAACGCGCTGGGCAGCACATATTTTGTTGTTCTGGGCAACGTTCGAGTGCTGGGCAGCAACANAGGGCTGTTCTGGGCAGTTTTGAGGAGCTGGGCAGCTGTTTGAGCGCTGATTTTTCTGTCCTAGACAGCCCAGGCGCGCTGGACAGCTGCCTGGACGTTGGTTTTGCTGTCTTGGACAACTCAAGTGCGCTGGGCAACAGTTTAGACATTGTNACAGGTAAGGCTTCCCATGTTTTCCCCCTTGATGACGTGGCTAAGCAAAGAGTCTAACTTGGTCTTGGGCTATGTTGGTCTTGGTGGATCTTTAAATAAGGTTAGGTTTCTCAATCGAGATTTGGACTTTGCACATAGACTGGGCTATTTTGGGCTTGACCCATCATTTGCCCCCCAATATCCCGTGTTCAAGGAAAACTTAGAGAAGGAGGCATTGACTCTTCATTTGTATATCTTTGGCTTTGGTGCAAACTCCAAACCTTTCCCACTTTATTTTGAAGAGAACCCATATTTTCAATTTGGGCTTTTTCCCTCTTTTGAAAAACCCTAGACTATAAATATAGTCTTCTTCTTCATTCTACCCATTTCACTCACTTTTAAGGTTGAGCACCCACTTCTTGAAAATCTTGAGAGCCCATTCTTGTGAATCTTGAGAGCTCATTCTTATGAGCAAAGTTTTTTCCAT